GGAACCTGGAAGTTAACACAGGAGAAGAATGGGCTGGGTGAGAGGACAAACAGGAGAACAAAAAAGGAAAGAAAAGCAAAGAAAAGCCCTCCCCGGGTCCGGCAGGATCAGGACTGGAGTGCTGTGGCTAGGCCCTGAGGCCAGATGCCCAGGAGGAGTGCTGCATTCACAGGGCGGGAGAGGGACAGGACAGGTGACACCTGGCGGCGAACAAGCCAAGGGATCCGACTGCCACTGCGGCCAGGAGCCTACTAGTGGCGGAGAGACAGGGGAGGCAAGACACAGGATGCGCAGGCGCCCTCGAGGGATCCCCAGGCCCCTGCGCTGCTGTAACGAGTCTGTCTCCCTGGCTCATCCCGGCACCCAGAGTTGGGGTGGTCCAGAGTGGGAACCGTGTGCCGAAGCTGCCCGAGTGCCAGAGCTGGTGGGCGGGCAGGCGAGCCGCTAGGCCGCTGGCCAGCCAGGTGGCGTACTCACTTAGTAAGGCGGGGTTGCTGAATCTCCAAGCCTCGTTGTAGGCGGTGTACTGGGGATGGCTGTATGGGTTGCCTGAGAACTCGCTCCCTGTGGGAGGGCGGGGAACTGGAATTAGATGTGCTCAACGTGCCCAGTTGGCCTCTTCTGCCCTCCCCAATAGTCCCCGTCTCAGGTGTTACAAGCAGAGCCAGGACCCCTGAGGGGCAGGTCAGAGGTGAAGCAATCCATGTTCTCTGCACGGGGACCGCCACCAAAAGCAAGAAGTATCCATATCTCTGCACACCTAGGCATGGAGGGATCTGTGGGCAGGTTTGTGCCTGGCCTCCCCTGCGAAGCACTGCTGGCTACCCGGAAAGGGTTTGGCCTGGTCTGGCAGTGTCCACTTAAGTAACTTGGGGGCTGGAGAGCTTTTATAGTGGGACAGTTGCTTTAGGAACTCCACAGGATGAAAGTGGGGAGGATGGTGAAGGAAGACCCTTGAGACACTTTGTCCCAGAAAGTTCCAAGAATGGCATCTCAGCTCTGTGCCAAAACTAGGCAGGTGGCGATGGTGGGGCGCTCCTGGGAAATAACCCCTCCCACTTTTCCCTCGAGAGGCCCAGGACGAGGGCCACACAACTGGGGAAGGAGACTTGCAGGAATCAAGTGGACTGCTGGCGGCCCAGAAGCAGTAAGCAGTGTAGGGCACTGTGGCTTGGGAGCCTTTGAGAGCTGCCTCCCTCCCTCCAGGAGGAGAAAGGCCAGGCCTATGGGTTTCCCCTTCGCCCTTTCTCCTGTGTGATGACCCCAGACTGTTTACAGTGATCCCTAACCGCGGGTTAAGTAGAGGAGAAGGGGCCCCTCTCCAAGAAGGAGCTGGGTGGGGGTGGGGGATGCAGCCACTGGAAAGCCTGTTTATTGACGAGGAGGGAAAGCATGCGTGCAGCAGGATAATGAGCTTCTGAGCTCAACTGTGACCAAGAGGAACTGAGCTATCTCCTTCCCCATCGCTAATGAAACAAGTGTAATTTCCTCATCAGCACTAGATTCTGTTTAACGACTCCCCCCTTGCCACCATGAGCTCTCAGCGGTTCCCCTCATCCCCACCTCCCTGCAGACTCCCCACCCCCATCTCCCCACTCTCCTTACCCCCCACCTCTTAAAGACCTCCTCCAGCCTCCACCTGCTCACTGATCTACCTCAAAGCCTTTCCTTGCCCTCTACCAACGCTTCTACTCGCCTTCTCCAAAGCCTGAGTAGGAATCTTCGCTCAGATCTCCAGCTCCTTTCAGCCCCTATTCTCACTGCCTGGCCGTGGAGAGTTTTCTCAACCCCACCTCTGCTTACTCGGGGCACTTCCTTGATTGACCAATCACCCTTTCTCTCCTCTCCTTCTCTCCCTATCAGTGAGGGCTGAACTTCAGGAACAGGGCACACAAAGACTCCAGAGGCAGTGGGTTGCAGGCTGGGAAAGTCTTTGTCATTTTAAGATAGGAGATTTTGGTGTTTCTGCAGATAAGAACTTCTGCTCCCTTTGACTTTAAGCCACGCCCATCTGGGGTAGAGGATGGAGATAGCAGGTTTTAAATAAAGCCTCTGCCTCCTTAATGCCAAACCCAAGTCCAATGCCTCTCAGCAAAAAGGAGTGCCAGAGTCCCAGAGCACTGTGTCCTCTGAAGAAGTGTAGAGGTGTTCTAGCTTGTTTCTTCCTGAAGCCGAGATCTCTGTGTTCACTCCTGTCCTCCACTCCACTTTGAGACTAGCTTCTTCTCTCTCTGGTTGGGGTTGGTTCTCTACAGTGCTCTCCCCCTCTGGTTGGTGTGGACCAGTGTGGCTTTGTCTGAATGACTGCCATGCCCCTGAAAATGGTCTTAGGTTCCAAGTTTCCATGGAAACCAGGGCAGGCTCTTCCAAGCAGTGTCAGCTAGCTGGGGTGGTCTGGAGCGCTGGGACATAGGTTTGGATGGATGGGTGCTGAGGAGGGGCCATAACCTACAGCTATCTACACAAGGGGGCACTTCTGTAAGTTTCCTCCTTGCCTTGCTTCTAAAGGGCCAACCGTGGCTTCTAAGGAGGAGGGATGAAGGAGCATGGTTTGCTGGCTCTCCTCCCGCTTTTGGCCTCACAGCACACACCATTTAGCAGCTCACCCACAATTTAGCTGTCCCCACCTAGATCAGACATCTACAGCATTGTCACCTACCAGGCACCATTCCTGCCAGGGTGGAGGTAGGGTAGCTTCCCTGGCCAGTGGGGGGCACATGAGGGGGGTAACCAGGTAGAGTGGTGCTCGCCATATCACGACCTGGAAAAACACAAAGGGGAAGGCGTGAGGCCTGGAAGAGAGGGACCTGCCTCAGCTCAGACCTGGATGCTAGGGAGCAGATACTCTCCAGGAGGAAGATGTGCAGATGTCTTTCTGAACAATCGGGCCTCCGAGTGCCTGAATATGGGTCCAAATGTCTAAATGTGTGATCTAAATGTGTGTCCACCGTCAGCCGTGTGTGTGTGTGTGTGTGTGTGTGTGTGTGTGTATGTGTATATGTGTGTGTATGTGTGTGTATGTGTGTGTGTATGTGTGTGTATATGTATGTGTATGTGTGTGTGTGTATACGTGTGTGTATGTGTATATGTGTGTGTATGTGTGTATGTGTATATGTGTGTGTATGTGTGTATGTGTATATGCGTGTGTGTGTATATGTGTGTCTGTATATGTGTGTGTATGTGTGTATGTTTATATGTATGTGTGTATGTGTATATGTGTGTATGTGTGAGTATGTGTATATGTGTGTGTATGTGTATATGTGTGTGTATATGTGTGTGTATGTGTATATGTGTGTGTATGTGTGTATGTGTATATGTGTGTATGTATATGTGTGTGTATATATGTGTGTATGTGTATATGTGTGTGTATGTGTGTATGTGTATATGTGTGTATGTGTATATGTGTGTGTATGTGTATATGTGTGTGTGTATATGTGTGCGTGTGTGTGTGTGTATGTGTGTGTGTGCACACATACCTCTGTTTTATGTTGTTCATTGTGTATCTGTACATACATGTATGCCTGCCTTAGTCTGTGTCTCCACGATTCCCAACCAAGAAGGAGATGGAGGATGTGACCTGGTTTTACTCCTTCTCCATAGATACTCAACTGTTATTGCTCTAGAGGCTTCTACCAGCCTGTCTACTGCTCTCCTCTAACACCTGTCTTTCCTTCACTATGCCCCACAACCACCTCTACAAAGGCAAAGCCCTTATTCTAAGTGGAGCTGTAGACGCCAGGCCTGGTTGGTAGGTCTGGAGGACAGGGGACTAACCAGTGGGCTATTTGGCTGTGACTGGAGCATTTACATGATAGAAAACCACCTTTGATGTGAATCGGGAACTTTGAGGGCAAGCAGATCAGATCAAATTCCAGTGAACAAAATCTGCTCCCCCTACCAGCAGCCTCCCTGGAGGCCTCTATTACCCAGATCCCAGAGAGTGGGGGGTGGGGGATTCCTTGCCAGGAGCAGGGAGTAGAGGCAAAGTGAATCCATTTTGGAGAGATACTTCCACCCAGAGACATTTGTTCTGGAACACGGCTGCATGTGACTGGCTTCCCCTCCATTTCTGTGAAGGGGTTACCTTCTAGCATGCTCCAGTCTTCATGGACAGCATTGATTCTTCCTATCTCCCACACACCCATACACTGGAGCCTATCCTCTCCTGGGGCCCACGTATCTGCTGCAGATTCCTCTGGTCTTCCTCCACAGACAGTGTCACTCTGTTCCTCATGCCTCTGTCCCACCCTGAGAAGGCAAGGTGTGGCTGGAGGAAGTCATAGCACTATGTACCCCCGCAAGTCCCCTTTCTTTTCCTTAGTTGTCTCCTAGCCATGGCTAGGTCCACGGAACTTTTCATGGCTAGTTCATAGCATCTTTCTTCAGTACTGTCCACTTGATGGCATCACCTACTTCATCCTTCAGACATGTGCTTTCTCAGCCCCACCTGGACACACCTGAGAGAGTCACCCTTCTCTAAGAATACAGAGCCATTGCTCAGACTTTTCCATTCCCAGACACCCGCTGAATGTCCTCATTAGCTGACCCACTGTCACCGCAAACTCAACAGGAATAAAGGCAGATCCACCTTCTCCTCATCAGTTCCCCGGCCCTTTTTTAGACAGACCTAGAACTTCAGAGCTCTAGGCACAGCCTTCTTCCCCCCCTTCTGATATGCAATCAATTCTTTTAGCCATTTCTGATATATTCATTTCTATTTCCCCTGTCACATTTGTAGTTCAGCCCCCAAGCGCCAGCCTTTGGCTTGCTCCAGTGGTTTTTCTTTGCTTGTATTCCTGCCTCCACATTCTTCCCTCTTACCAATCTAAAATGTGGCTGCTAGCCTTCTGAAACATCACTTTCATAGTGCCTCTTCCTTGTAAACACTACCATTGATTCCCTGTAGGCTACAGTTTGCATGGAAACTCTCCAGAGTTCAAGTGCCCCAGGGACTCACCCTGCTAGACTTTCTTAGCTCTGATTCTCACTTCTGGTTGTGTTTGTTTTCATCCTGTGATGTAAAATGCCTGTGCTTGGATGTGACCTTTACTTCCTTCTTACTCATAGTTTTCTTCCAGTTCAAGCCTCAACATTCCCATCCTTCTACTCATCAAGGAAGTTTCTTTCAAGTTTCCATGACATCTGTGTTCCTTGATTGACTATGCCATTATATTGCAAAATGCATTGTCAGTTCTGTTGTTTCATGCCAAGCAGACCATAACTCACTCAAGGGCAGGACCCACATTCTGATCTGTCCTGCACAGTTGAGAACACAGTGGACTCTCAATAAGTACTTATTGATCAATTCTCACGGTCCCTCCATTGCATCCACAGCTGATCCCTGATGGGTGGTAAGGGTTTCTCATTGTTTTGTAATGTGTTGATCTACGACAGAGAAACAAGGCTAGGACAAAATCTGCTTGAATCTTTTCCCTTAAAAATCAGTTAAAATGAAGGCTGAGTGGTGGTGCACACCTTTAATCCCAGCACTCAGGAGGCAGGGGAAGGAGGATCTCTGTGAGATCCAGTTCCAGGACAGGCTCCAAAGCCACACAGAGAAACCCTGTCTTGAAAAACTGAGGGGGAGGGTCGCAGAGAGAGGGAGAGAGAGAGAGGGAGAAGGAGAGGGAGAGGGAGAGAGGGAGAGAGGGAGAG